CTGCAGCGGCCGGTTCTAACAGAATTTAGGGCGGCCTGGTGGGCAATTGCCTCCCTGCCCCCCAGCCCAGCCCGCCCCTGCTCTGTGTCTTAATAAAATCATGTATTATTCAACTTTGAGTTAAAGGAGGGGGAATAAACGCATTTCTCTCCATACTCCATTTACTGATGTGATCTTCGGGTGTTTTGCCTAGGCAAGAAACCCAGTTGTAGTGGGGTTTGGAGCAGATTAGTGGTTATAGTTCCTGATAATTTTGTCTTTAAAGGAAAGTTTAATGTTAAAATGTAACGTTGGACTCATATAATGTTATCAGGAGTACCTACTGGGCGATGATGGCAATAACCCTGGTGTATAGTGGGAGAATATTTTCAGACAACATGGGAAGTTGGATCAAAATGTAAATGATGTGTATCCATCTAATTTTAATGCTGATACTAAAAAGTTTACTTGGTGATGTTTCCAGCATTCGGTCTGAGGTTGTTTGCACGAAAAGTGGTTAAGATGTGTGAAATTGTGTATCAATAGATTTTTAAAACTTTAAAGCAATCTGTTTTTTCATGCCACCTTTTTTTTTTTTTATAGTCTTGATTTTACATCAGCCGATAATGGTGTTTTTTTTCGCTCACGATAAGCTTTCTAAGGGATCGGAGCAATTTAATATAAGCCATTTAAGGCTTATCAGGAGCTGATACATTTTGGTTTGAGCGATTATGACTTTTGGGTAATTTTTAAGACTTTCTAAACCAGCCTGATACATTTTGAATTCATTTTCATCTGGTCAGAATTTGGCTGATATTATCACTGTAGGCACCAGGCCACTTCAGCTCATTGAAGTGGCCTGGGTGCAAACTCCCATCACCCTTAACCCTGATCATGTAATTATTGCAGTTCTTATAAACTGCGATAGTTATCTGCTAGAGTTAACTCCTCCTTTAGAGGAACTTCCGGGTGGATAGGCGACTTTTGGTCGCCTAAACAACACTGGACGTCCTCTCGATATGCATGAGGACTTCCAGCGTTACCGGAATCCACATTGGAAATAATTGAATAATGCTTTCCTATGGGAAAATCATAATGTGAGCGCAGCCATTGCAAAACATGGTGACGTCGGCAAAAGAGGAGCATGGGCAAAGCTGAGTCAGCGCCGGATCCAGGTAAATGACAGAAGGATTTTTAACCCCTTCTGCACCACAGGGAGGTGCCTTGACAGAGGTGGAAGCTATAGTATTAGAAAAGTTTGTTTTCTTTATAAAGTGCGCTGTATCTTTAAAAATATTGCAAAGTGAATAGTGATATCACTAAATGATAAAGTGCATACATATATTTATATCATAGTGAATATAAAGTGAATCACGAACAGGAGTCAGGATTACAGACTGGAACAGGTAGATGGACAAGCCAGGTCTAGTACACGAACAGGAGTCAGGATTACAGACTGGAACAGGTAGATGGACAAGCCAGGTCTGGTACACAAACAGGAGTCAGGATTACAGACTGAAGCATGTAGATGAACAAGCCAGGTCTGGTACATGAACAGGAGTCAGAATTACCGACTGGAACAGGTAGATGAACAAGCCAGATCTGGTACATGAATAGGAGTCAGGATTACAGACTGGAACATATAGATGAACAAGCTAGGTCTGGTACATGAAATGGAGTCAGGATTACAGACTGGAACACGTAGATGGACAAGCCAGGTCTGGTACACGAACAGGAGTCAGGATTACAGACTGGAACAGGTAGATGGACAAGCCAGGTCTGGTAAACAAACTGGAGTCAGGATTACAGACTGAAGCATGTAGATGAACAAGCCAGGTCTGCTACATGAACAGGAGTCAGGATTACAGACTGGAACAGGTAGATGGACAAGCCAGGTCTGGTAGATTAACAGGATAATCGTATAATCCAGTTCTGAGACACAAATACTGGAGAACAAGAATTATCGAAGGATAAGCCTGGTAAGAAAACAGGAACTAAATCAGGATAAACACAAAAAAGGCCCAAAAACCACAAAAGGGTCCAGAGCAACCAGGTTGCTCTCTTTAAATAGGAAGTCCTGCAAATGATTGGTTCTGCTTCCTGGAAGCAATCAGCAAGAAGGGTGAGTGTTACCCACAGGTGCCCTACAAAATAAACAATATTTGGATGAGAAGTAACTATCACTTTCTGGAATCTTCACAGGAGAGCACATTCCACTGTGGCACAGCATGAGTCATGAAGTGGGAGACAGGGACTCAAGTCCCACTAGGAGGGGAGAGAAGACTTCCTTCCTATATGGGAGAAGCAGTTACATTCGTTGCCAGCATGCAATGCAGTGAATGCTGACGATATACATATTTTATGCACAGAATTGACCGATCAGCCAACATGCAACAAACGGGCTCCCCTCACTCACGATTGCCTTTTTGAAAAGTTCAAAATAATCTGTCCATCTTCCAAGTCCTGCACAGTAACCATACTTTGTTTCACGAGTACTAATGTAACTAGCAAACCTTTTAACTCTCCTGTGGCCATGTCTTTTTAATCCAAAGAGTAGAATGATCGCCATGGAAACTAACTGAATGTTACTGCTGATTTTGCCTCTTTTAGAATGGCTATAGACGTAGATGTGCAGATATAGGAGTTTAGTACTTCCATCCACTGCACTTCTCAAACCAGTAACTACTTCAGTAGAAATCAGAAAAGTGTGTTTAACAGGACAAAGTCATGTTTCCAGAGGTCCCACAGGTCCCCCGGGTTTTGAGATCTGAAATCCCTGCAATATAAAAGTTTTGACATTCTGAAAATAGTAATTCACTGCAAGCCAGATTTACACAGCAAACACAGGAAACCTGGAGAAATCACAGGTTATTAAACTATTCTGCAGTTAACCTTTTCTAAAGAAGAAATAAAATACATCCAATTCCTTTCAAGTTTCTATTGTTAGGCTCAAGGAATATGAGGATATGATACTGCTTACCTGGGGAGAACGTGTCTTCCTGCAAACTGTAATGATTTAAGACAGTTGTCAGGACCAGATTTATATCTCAGGCGCCAGTAGACGAAGATAGGAAAGCTGCAGATTAATTTATCAGTATGATTGTTAGGGCAGGGTGATAATATAGTATTAATGATGTACGTTTATATTGCAGGGGTAAGTACATAATCCGGGGTAAGATTGCAGTGTGTTCAGTGCGAATACTGTGGGTAGTGTCTGAATCTGATTTGCAGGATATTAACGAAGCAAAGAAGGGTAGATACACTGTGAATACTGTGAATAGAGTCTGAATGTGGATGGCAGAAGGTGAGGGTGAAGTACGAATTTACACTCTGGCTAATTAACAGTCAGTGTAAAAATCTAAATATACGGCAAAAAAAAATAGTTTGAAGGCAGATGTCCCTGGCAGAGAAGCACCTGTAGAAAGCTGTCTACCGGCAAATCCAGCCTTGGCAGCAATGGCTAATCTTGGCATCTTAATGCTTTTTTTGAACTATATCTACCAAGATACTAAACCAGTCTTATAAATTCAAATCCATTCTGGGCTACCTGATCCAGTAGACACAGGCATTAGTTGTTCCAGATCCACACGGGCCAACTTGTCAGATCAACATACGGGAAGGAGGTTTTCTTTTGCCAACCAGAAGGTAAATTAACTCTGCAGCTTGTTACATTATTACATGTAGTTTGCTACTTTGTGAATAGCATCAATATATTTATCTGACTATAGATTGCTGATTAATGAAAGAAGAATAAACGACTATATACTATATATTTATTACATGTCTATGTAATAATCCATTCAAGTCAGTGGAGGTCCATGCTTAAATGGACACTGTAGTCACCAGAACAACTACAGCTTATTGTATTCATTCTGGTGAGTATAATCATTCCCTTTAGGCTTTTTGCAGTGTTTACATTACAGCCTAGTGATAACTTCACTGGTCACTCCTCATGTGGCTGTTGGAGTTGCTTCCTGGGGCAGGACTGCCATTCAGGGTCTCCACCCTCTGCATGGAGACACTGAACTTTCCTCATAGAGATGCACTGATTCGATGCATGTCTATGAGGAGATACTGATTGGCCAGGGCTGTGTTAGGCTTGTGCTGGTTCTGATCTGCCTCATTGACAAGCTCAGCCAATCCAATGCTTTCCTATGGGAAAGCATTGTGATTGACTGAGATCACCACTTCTGATGTCAGCCAAGCATACAGATCAGGGGCAGAGCCAGCAGCAACAGACTGGAATAAAGGTAAGATTTTACTATATATAAGTGGCTTATATGGTGTTTTTAACAATATATACATGTTTGTGTTCCTGACCCTGTAGTGTTCCTATAAAAAGAAAATCTGTTTTCTTTATAGCCACAATTTAAGCGCACCTCCACCCCCACCTAGCCACCCCTTTTTAAAAAATGGAACAGTGTCTGTTATTATGCAAAAAAGTACTTATAATCTCAGTTATAATCAGTGATTTGCATTAATGGGATGGAGGAATTCAATACAAAATATTATTTAATTTGATTTAAATGGAGGCTTTCCAGAGCAGATGTAGAAACACAGAGGTAATGTTTAAAACATTTACTGAAATAATGAAATGAACCGTGGTTATCTAGCATTGTATTGCTAAGTTATTGTATCACTGGGGGCTTTTCTGAAATAATCTGATGGAGTCACATAAGACATTGCAGGACTGGGGGTTTCAGTTCTGATTACTAGGAGTTGCAGCACTTAGAGAGGAGAACTTGTACCCGGCAATTCATATTAAATATCCATGAATGAGAATATGCCACAGGAAAAGTGACAATCACAAATTCTGAAATATGTTCACAGTTCTGGTGAAATGTATAGGATGAAAAACAGCCATTTCAGGGGCAGCTGTGGGATGCTGCCCCTCTTAAATAGTTTGGCTCTACCAACTTAACCCCAGGAGAGTCAGTATTATAGCAAGGTTTATCATAACAGACATCATTACAGTGGTAGATACACTATTATACCTGGTGCTGTAATGATACGGATACAGCATGTACCCAAAAGTGCAGGAAGTGGGCAAGGATGAGAAAAGTCAGGTGATAAAATAAGTGATGCAGTTAGATTTTAGGCTGCCCTTGGCCCATATAGTTTACCGCCGTCACACATACTTAGCCTTTTACATATATAGACACAAACACATAGAATTCCCAAGAAAGAGCTGTGGCTGCAGCATTTTAGGCCAGTATAGAAATTGTGGTGAGTGTTTGATTAATTCCCTGGAACTAGAAAATAATATGTAACAGAACGTTCAGTTCCAATGGCTAAAGGCACTATATAAATTTAGATCTCTTCCTCCAGCTTTAATGGAGAGCATGTGGAGTGTGAAGCCCCAATATTTAACTCTAATATATAAAATAAGTCAACTGGACAGTTCATCTTACTGCCACCAGGACATTTTACCTTACTGTCTCTGGAACATCTCACCTTACTGTCTCTGGAACATCTTACCTTACTGTCTCTGGAACATCTCACCTTACTGTCACCAGGACATTTTACCTTACGGTCTCTGGAACATCTCACCTTACTGTCTCTGGAACATCTCACCTTACTGTCTCTGGGACATCTCACCTTACTGTCTCTGGGACAACTCACCTTACTGTCTCTGGAACATCTTACCTTACTGTCTCTGGAACATCTCACCTTACTGTCACCAGGACATTTTACCTTACTGTCTCTGGAACATCTCACCTTACTGTCTGTGGGACATCTCACCTTACTGTCTATGGAACATCTTACCTTACTGTCTCTGGAACATCTCACCTTACTGTCTCTGGGACAACTCACCTTACTGTCTCTGGAACATCTCACCTTACTGTCTCTAGGACAACTCACCTTACTGTCTCTAGAACATCTCACCTTACTGTCTCTGGGACAACTCACCTTACTGTCTCTGGAACATCTCACCTTACTGTCTCTGGGACAACTCACCTTGCTGTCTCTAGAACATCTCACCTTACTGTCTCTGGAACATCTAACCTTACTGTCTCTGGGACAACTCACCTTGCTGTCTCTAGAACAACTCACCTTACTGTCTCTGGGGGCAAAATACTAAGGCAGTTGCGTGGCTTGATATGCACATGAAGCTACACACAGGGCAGCACTGGAGCTTCCCATCTGTCACTTAACAACAGGGGCTCAGCTTAGAAATCACGTCCTCATGTTAAGTTCTGCCATCACCGTTAAATGACAAAAACATTTTTTTTGGCACCCAAAAAGTAGTGAGGCTGAGCTGAAGGGCAACAAACTTATTTTGATTGCTGTTGTTCTTTGTTTGCAGAATTGCTGAAAGTAATTAGTTATCAGCACATAATATAGTCTTTACATGTGATGAATTAGCCTTAGAGTCAGATGGACAGGGTGAATTGGGGTATACAGGGAGTGCAGAATTATTAGGCAAGTTGTATTTTTGAGGATTAATTTTATTATTGAACAACAACCATGTTCTCAATGAACCCAAAAAACTCATTAATATCAAAGCTGAATATTTTTGGAAGTAGTTTTTAGTTTGTTTTTAGTTTTAGCTATGTTAGGGGGATATCTGTGTGTGCAGGTGACTATTACTGTGCATAATTATTAGGCAACTTAACAAAAAACAAATATATACCCATTTCAATTATTTATTATTACCAGTGAAACCAATATAACATCTCAACATTCACAAATATACATTTCTGACATTCAAAAACAAAACAAAAACAAATCAGTGACCAATATAGCCACCTTTCTTTGCAAGGACACTCAAAAGCCTGCCATCCATGGATTCTGTCAGTGTTTTGATCTGTTCACCATCAACATTGCGTGCAGCAGCAACCACAGCCTCCCAGACACTGTTCAGAGAGGTGTACTGTTTTCCCTCCTTGTAAATCTCACATTTGATGATGGACCACAGGTTCTCAATGGGGTTCAGATCAGGTGAACAAGGAGGCCATGTCATTAGATTTTCTTCTTTTATACCCTTTCTTGCCAGCCACGCTGTGGAGTACTTGGACGCGTGTGATGGAGCATTGTCCTGCATGAAAATCATGTTTTTCTTGAAGGATGCAGACTTCTTCCTGTACCACTGCTTGAAGAAGGTGTCTTCCAGGAACTGGCAGTAGGACTGGGAGTTGAGCTTGACTCCATCCTCAACCCGAAAAGGCCCCACAAGCTCATCTTTGATGATACCAGCCCAAACCAGTACTCCACCTCCACCTTGCTGGCGTCTGAGTCGGACTGGAGCTCTCTGCCCTTTACCAATCCAGCCACGGGCCCATCCATCTGGCCCATCAAGACTCACTCTCATTTCATCAGTCCATAAAACCTTAGAAAAATCAGTCTTGAGATATTTCTTGGCCCAGTCTTGACGTTTCAGCTTGTGTGTCTTGTTCAGTGGTGGTCGTCTTTCAGCCTTTCTTACCTTGGCCATGTCTCTGAGTATTGCACACCTTGTGCTTTTGGGCACTCCAGTGATGTTGCAGCTCTGAAATATGGCCAAACTGGTGGCAAGTGGCATCGTGGCAGCTGCACGCTTGACTTTTCTCAGTTCATGGGCAGTTATTTTGCGCCTTGGTTTTTCCACACGCTTCTTGCGACCCTGTTGACTATTTTGAATGAAACGCTTGATTGTTCGATGATCACGCTTCAGAAGCTTTGCAATTTTAAGAGTGCTGCATCCCTCTGCAAGATATCTCACTATTTTTGACTTTTCTGAGCCTGTCAAGTCCTTCTTTTGACCCATTTTGCCAAAGGAAAGGAAGTTGCCTAATAATTATGCACACCTGATATAGGGTGTTGATGTCATTAGACCACACCCCTTCTCATTACAGAGATGCACATCACCTAATATGCTTAATTGGTAGTAGGCTTTCGAGCCTATACAGCTTGGAGTAAGACAACATGCATAAAGAGGATGATGTGGTCAAAATACTCATTTGCCTAATAATTCTGCACTCCCTGTACATGGGGGTGTGCAAATGTTTGTTCTGCCATGACTCTGGTTACGCCACTGACCATACCTTGCTTTACTGTCACTGGACATCGTACATGGTCATTGCAACTGGCAGCCAGATCAGCCTCAGATACCACAATCCACTCAGTAATATCCCAGTCCAGCTCTGCAGAGTACTGAGAACAGAGTCACCCAGTACCCAGGCTAGCAAAGACCCTGCACAGGTACTGCTTGCTGCCGCACTCCTGCAGAACTCTGCAGACAGACAACCCAATGCATCTCCTGTTATTTTAGTTTTGAGGTTGCAGTCCACAACCTCCTTGCCAGTCCTCCCATGTTAATGGGGTGGGGGACAATTTCCCCTGCCGACACCTTTGTCAACCTATGGTCAGAGGGTGTACTGTTGTTGCCCCTTATACAACTGGCTTTTAAATGCATTTCTTTCAGCTTCCTTGTATGACAAATATTGAAAATGGGATGGGGAGAGTGCCCCAGCCACCAAGGATTTGGAAGAACCCCGTTGCATTTTAGTAACTATTTCCTCTCTGCTCTGGTACTCATGGAATAACAAATGAAGTTATTTATCTATCTTGGAAACAAATTATTTTTTTCTTAATCATAAATCAGTGACAGCTTATGCAGCAAGTGAGGTCCTTTATTTTACAGAATATAATTTGAATTTCTCAGGAGGCTTCATTCTGATATACATCAAATTTAAAGTTAGAATAATTAGAATACATAGTTACATTTGTACTAGTATTCTCGTTAGTAAATCCAAAACCTTATTTTTTTTAATCCAATATAGCAATTGTAACTGAATTCTAAAATTTGAAAAGTTGCAGCACCGTTAACAGATTTCAAAGCACACAAATGAAGCATTTTATCCTATTTAACAAATGAAGTGCAGAAATAAAGTTGTCAGGACCAGGATTTGAAGTGTTATTAAGATGTTTATTTGTATTTTTCACATCAGTATTAAGGGATATCATTTTCTTCTCCTAGGTCGTGTGCAAAAAGAGTCTGCAGGACAAAAAAAAAACAAGAAAAAAAGCAATGATTAAAAAAAATTTCAAAATGGAAAAAAACGGCAAAAGTGCTGTTCATTGCCATAAAAATTTGTTTCACTGTATCCCACGGCCTTATTGCTACTGTGCAGAAAAATGGTGCAATTTAAGACATTTACATTGTGCTTTCACTATAATTGATATTCCTTGTTCTGTGTTTCATCAGCAAGGTTCGTGAACTAGTGAAGGCAATGTACATTATCCATTATCACCCACAGTATCAGCCATTTCTTGTAGGAAGTTGCTTACAGATTGCTTGACACAAAGTGTTATTTACAAACTTCTGGAATGTTTCTGAGAAGTAAAGATGAAATGATTAAAATTAGAGATGAATGTGATTAAATGAATTCTCAGATTTCACTAAACAATTGTCGTCAGAAATTACTTAGACTTGCAATGCTGATGGGGACATCTGGCCTAGTTTGCGGAGATATAGTATATATCAGGATAGCAAACAAGTACATCCGGAACAGAATGTACAATCTATATCATCATCAGTGCCATTATAAAACACCTAGACCAGCCGGGACACTGAGTGAAGAATGAAAAACACACCTGCAGGACAAACGCATCTCTGTAAGCTCGACACTTTGTATAATTCATCATGCCACTTTGTTTTTAAAAGTACCCATCACTGTAACATGTAAAAAGATACTATTTGCTAAGTACATCTAAATACAGCTTTTTCTTTTTCTGTCTGTTTCATAAGAACTTAAAGGGACACTCCACTTTCCAAATATAACATAAAAATAAAATAAGTATTCACTATTTCATTTAAATATGCATAATTTTGGAAGTATATCTAAAAATTGCTTGCAAAAGCTGCAGATCCCTTGTCTGCAGCCTTTGTAATCCCTCCACTTCTAACCCCGCCCAGACTTTCTGTGGCTGTCAAATCACAGACTTCCCAAGGCAACTCAATGAGAAGTCTTTGCAAGATATTCTGAGTAATTGCTGTCTCTTGATTTTAACACCACTGAGCTGTACAACCAGAGAAAAGCAAGAATGAAGCCTTAGGGGGTCAGTCGAAGCTTGACCCCAAAGTCGACATACAAACAGACTATGTTGGTATAAAAGGTCATAAACCCTGAATTGTTTAATTACGAGAAAAATTGCCACAGAGGATGAAAGAGTGAAGGGCGACCTGCCTTTCCTCTAAACACTCCCCCCAGGTATACCCACAGTGGTAAAAATAACTCATGGGGCACATATGGAATAAGAGTTAAAACGTAAACATATCTTTATTAAATTCTATTTAAAATGTCCATAAGGACAGAACGTGTTGAAAAAGGCGCCTGAGAACGCTGAAACGCGCGTCGAGTTTAGACGTTTTTCTTTCTTATTAGGTTAGGTTCTTTGTGCAGCCTTTTAGTCTTTTGTAGATCTTGGGGACGATTTCAGCTAGTTACCTGGGCTTCAGTCTCTGACTATAGGGTTTGGTCACTTTACTTTGATCAGCCTCTCGGATTAGAAATCTGTCAATTTACTGGCACCTGTATTCACATGAGTATTTACTTAGACAGGGTGGTTGTTATATTTCCCAGCATATCTAAGCAGTTAGACAGTGTGTGCCTAATGTTTTTCTCAGTGTCTACCTGGGCAGTTCACCTTTTCTTATCAGCTGCACTTGTAGTGTCTATCTAGATAGACGGACTGGGTCTGATTGCTACACCATACTTTTTTATCTACGTAAGGGACTTAAATACTTTTTCAAACAGGATTTGACCTCAGGAGGGGATCTATATTTACTTACTAGTATTTTTCTCTATCTCCCCCAAGACTTTAAGTCCTATTTGGGACTATTATAGGTCTGGTACAATCTAAGGCAGTGTTATATTTTCAGCCTGCCTATTCATTTGTCCCTAAATCTCTCAAGTGCAATTTCAAACAGACTAGATTTGGAAGATGTGTCTATTATATGTAGAGGTTTTTTAGGTTTACATACTGTGCTACTGTATGCATTAACTCTGGGAATATGTATAGCACTATTATATTGCCTATGGCTGTATTCTGTCCTCACATGTATTTAAGCTACAGACCCCCTAGTAAATCTGTTTTTTT